AGGCTTGCCCGGGAACCCTAGCTAATAGCACTAAATCGTGTCTTTTCACCTATTCTTTACGCCGTAGATGAGAAGTTATATATTCCGGGCTCGAAGATATACTATCTCTCGTCAAAACTCCCGACCTTCAGATTCGCTGGCTTCTCGTTCAATGTCACGATCGACTGAGTCCTCATCGTATAGATATCGGACCGCTCGAATTAATACGGCCATGCCATTGTTCATATTCTCCCCCCAAATCCGCTGATAATGCCGCTGACCGAGCCATCGCGCGTACGAGTCCCAATCTTGATACGCCCCTAAATATCCCGCCATCTGGATTTGTCGATACCCCACCTGACTCTGCATCATACAATACACCACGGGAGCCATCACCCCCGGCCATTGACACACCTGCTCACTGTCTTGTCCGGTCACGCATAAATGCTGACTGATGCCACATCGGTGACAACTATGCGTGTCGGGTTGGTAGCGAATGCGAGAACGGAATCTCTCCACCTCCGCTTCGCACCACCACGCTCGATCGCATTTCGGCGTCGAATGTGGTGCCGTCCGGTTTTCACCGTTCACCCAACAGTAGACACACCCAATCTTCATCTCCGTCATCGCCTCCTCCACGGAATGTTGAGTCTCCTCTTCTTCTCGTGTCCGAATCGATGTCTCATGCGCTCCTTCGCCACAACGGTCACATCGAAGCCAGTGGACATCACCCTCGCAAGATCTCGCCAGCTCCGCTCCATCTAAATACTCACTCATCACACGCCGTCGACAGCCGGTGGTGGCCACGAACTGCGCCATCACTTCATCTTCCACCCCCAATCCACCTTGCTGCAGTCGAGCTTCGGCCTTTTGGTTCGGGACCAGAATGAGAGAGTGGACTTCCTCTCCGCCACGACCCCCGCGCCCACTCTGCTGCGCAAAGTCAATCATCGAAAACGGAAGATCGACGTGTAAGATGAAGACGATGCCGGGAATGTCAACACCGGTCCCGAGCGCGGATGTAGCCACGATCAACCCTCCCTCACGGACCCAATGCTCGAGACGTTCCGCTCGGTCATGCACTCGAGCGTGATAGTGGTGGCATTGAAGCTGGTCGGCCAACCACACGCAGAAATCACGAGAGAGACTGTAAACCACCCCCCGTTCGCCTCGTTGAATTAAGTGGTGGAGTTGCCGCTGGCAGATCCGCAGTGCTTCTTTCTCCAATTCATCGGGTCGGCATCGTTGGACCAAGTATCGATGGCGTGGGCGGATGGTACTGGCTCGGATGATACGCGTATATCGGATGTCCAGACTGTCTTCTAACTCACTAACGCGCCGTGGTGGTAATGTCGCGGTCAAGATGTAAGTGGGACAGCCGAGACCCCGGACGTGGCGAACCCGGGAGAGATTTTTACGCCAGTGGCTGTCGGTAAACGTGCAGTGACCCTCGTCAATAAAGATACGTCGTAGTAGACCGGCCTCGACCAATGTTCGTCCGTATGTCATGAAGCTGTCTTGCACCGCAATGTCGGCACTGACTACGACAATTCGAGCGGGGTTGATCTCGCCAACCGTCCACTCAATGCAGTGGATGCCAGCCTTGCGGAATCGAGCGACAACGTCATCGACCAATGCTCGAAATGGCGCAATGAAAATGGAGACACCCTCCTTCTCTAAGACGACGGGAAGCATCGCCAGAACCGTTTTACCTCCGCCCGTGGGAATAACAATCGTGACCGGAGTCTCACCGTGAAGCACCGCCATCGTACCCTCCTCCTGCTCGCGGGAGCGAAATCCAGCGGCCCTATCCCCGAACAGTCGATGTAGCCCATCCTCAATTTGAGCTGCCGATGGGGCGATAACGGTCACGGCGGATGACGGTGGGGCGGGGCCACGGGGACTCCTATCGAAGAGCGATCGCCAGCGGGGAGTATGAGACGGCATTTCCCACGACTCTCGAGCCGAACGCTTACCTTGATCGACAGATGATGTAGAAGTGGTGGCGATCGTAGTGCCGCTGAGATGAGATGGTTTGCTGAGAAGCTGGGCGCCCACACTGGCTAACCCGAGAAAACGATGCCAGCCTTCACTGATGGGACGAAAAGTCTCGATTAACTTAGACGTCATGTGCTTGACAATGTCGGACCGCACTCCGTATCGACTGGCACCCGTCGCATCACCCCGGCCGCTCTGCAGCTCAATGGGATCATCCATCTCTCTCTCGGGCTCCTCCACTTCCCCGAGCTCTTCTTTATAACCCTCGGCGAATTTATCTGAGACCACCTCCCGTCCGATGCTGATGACAATGTGGCGGAAATCTAGTGTGTGAAATCGATATCCGAGTCCAAGCGCCGTCTGTCGTTTGATAACTCGGGTTAAATGCTCAGTCTCCCATGGCCCTTTTTCGTTATACCATATATGATCGCTGATCTTCTGATTCTGCGTCTCGATAAGTAGATACTCACAAAATGGCTGAACATAGACCAAGTAGACGACCAATAATTGACCCACTCGCCATGGTAGAAAACGCGGGATGATCTTGGGGGTGCCGAAGAGCTGCTGAGACTTGTGGTATCGAATGACAATCGAGCTGGTACCGTCGATGATGAAGTGGTTCCGATCTTGAAGAGATCCGTTGCGAAAGCGAATGGCCGTCAACTCTGTCCCCCGGGCGAGTGAACCGTACGATGAATGGACACCGAAGAGCAGCCGCTCCAAGACTTCCTTCCACTTGACGAGATATCGTCGGACGTTACGGAGCTTCCACGTTCTATCCTTGCTGCGAAGTCGAAGTTTACCCCGTTGTCGAAGCATTTGGCGGAACATCCATTGCCGACCACCATCGAGACCATTGCTGCTCTGCTTCAAGAATGAATAGCCGCGGAGAGTGAATGTCTGATCGTCCTGGATAATGTCTAAATCGATGGAAAACCGTTTCGAATCGTCACGAACCCACATGAGTTGCTCCCACAATATTTGCTCGGCCCGTTGAATGTTGTCCTGAACCATCTGCCGGAATGAGCTGAGTGCGATCGGAATACCCTTGTAGAACATCGTATCTTTGTTGCGAGACCATGTAATGGTGGCAGCGTTGCTACTGTTCAGCGCCACGTATTTTCCGTATGCCAACAAATTGATCAATTCGCTCATGGGAGTGCCCCCACCATCCGACAAATATTCCTGACGCCACCGAAGAAATCGATCACCCCAACTGGACTCCTTTAATTGTCTCTCACGTTTCGACGATGGTAGCAACAGCTCAACTCCAAGAACTCTCATGTCCCATGTCAATCCGGCCAAAATATACGAAAAATTGAGCGGTTCCTTGAGTCGTCGATTCTCCTCGTCAATACCTAAGACGGCGGTAAAATGAATTAATCCGCTACGAAATTTATCTCCTCCGACCTTATGAAATATAAACTGGGTGAAAAATTTCTTCATCGCGTCAATCTTCGCCGGCTGGGGTTGGGTCTGGTCGTACACCGTATGATATAGTTGTTTCGTACACCACCTTTGTGCCGGGGTCCATGGAAATAATTCGCGAGCATCCTTGGTCTCATCAACCTCCTGATATGGCTCTGGCGCGACCGGGGTGGTGGCGCCAGTAGTAACGGTCTCTCCCTCACGGTCGCTTTCGTCGTCACTGTCGTTCTTATCATCACTATCGCCCTCGGAGATATTATCAAATTCAAAATCGTGGGTATCATTATTATATGGCGTTTCGTCGTTATCTGGGGGTGTTAGTACATGGGTATTTGTCGTGGCCGCAAAACCAGCAAAAGTTCTATTGGATACATCATTGGAAACATTAATGGAAACATTGGCGGCAATATTAGAAGAAGATATATTCGCCGGGACATCATGTTGTGGGTTCTCGTTGCTGTCGTTCATCTCGCTGTAAAACCAAACTCGCAACGTATAGCAAACAAATCGACGCATGTAGCCGAGATATCGTTCCTCACTGTCAGTATTCTGTAGCCGTGCAAATGGTCGTTGACCAATCTCAAACCGCTGTTCACTTCGGAGCCAGCGTCGAGTTTCTTGGTCGAGTGTTCGAATACCATCGACGGCCTCAGTAGCGAAGATGTCGAATACCTCGACGATCTCCGTGAGAAGTGGCTCGTCTTGGTCTGGTAGCCGACTCGTATATGCGAGCCACTTAAGATTGCGGTTTCGGAAGTGCTGTTGCCACAGTGTTCGACTCCACCAACCCGTGTGGTCTTGTTTCAGCATTTCAGCCTCAAGCTTCTCCATCTCGAGTTCGTGTGCAGCATCCATGGCGGCGGCTTTGGCATTCAACTCCGCAACCTCATCTTCGGCCCTCGGGCTGGGAAGCAAGACTGCTCGGGGTGTGTTGTGAGTGTGACTCGGCACGGTGTATCTTTGTCGAGCGGATCGAACACTAGATGGCCCAGACGAGCTGGCAGGTATCGGCGTATTAGCTGGCATGCGAACCTGAAAGTACTTGATTCTGCCGGGCATGGTGAACCACGTTTGAGCCCATATCTGGCTCCAGTACTCGGGACTTTGCTCGGTTTTCTTCCAGCCATGCTCCTTCCGGGCGTGCATCTCAATCCCTTTGCGGTGAGAACTGACCCAGCCACATCGCTCAGCTGGACAGAGATACGCGGCGATGGGAGTCTTCAGTCCATAGATGGGTGGTGAATGTGGCGGCGGCTTTCGAACCGCCGTCCAGAGTATGGCTTCCTGGTGTTTATGCTGATTGGTGATCTTCTTTCGCTCCTCCTTTGAGAGCTCTTTGTGTTCCTCATAAAGATGCACCGCGGGTTTCGTCAATGCATACCCATGTTGAGTACAAATAAAGATGTGATAATCTTCATTATAGATAATAAACTCTTCCATCTTTACCGCTTTACTAAACTATAACTATTATTAATATTAAAGAGAAGTGTGGAGTAATGAGCGGTGTCGAACCGTGTATGGTTGTCATGTGACGCCAAGACCCTGACGGTGCTACAACCCTAACCCTATAGTAGCCCCATTTAACCCCTTACCCCATCAAACTATATCTCGATACCTATGCGTTGCCTACAAGTGAACTATACTGTAATCGATAGAGCTCATTGAGTACAGTCGATTGATGTAATTATTAATATGATTATCTCGGTTGCGTAGTGCTGAGCAGAAAGTAATCTGGCCGGATAATCTGGCCTGAACCCTAAGAATTCCCATTCTCTCATTGGTCGCCCTACGAGTAATCTGGCCAGATTCCAGGGTCCTCTTGGATAGG